CCCAGAAGCGCCTGACACATCATGTATGGTTCAAAGAAGCAGCGCAATTCAACTCCCCTTCAAAAAAACCATTTCGCAAGGTGGGCCTCGAATTGCAAGACGGAAGACACTCCAAGAGCCAGTGCCTGACAAGCTTCACATGGTTCAAAAGAACGGGGTGACTGGTTCATGAAGACTTGAACTCCCCACTCGTTTGGCCATCAATCTGGTGGGCCTCGTCGAAGTCAATCTTCAACCGTAAGGTCCAAAATCCCAAAGCGCCTGACACATGTTGCATTGCATGGCTCAGACGCAGCACCGTTCAGGGTGACTTCAAACTTCAAACCATCAACAAATGAATCTGTAATAAATCAATCCAGCTGCTTTAGTCCAAGTCATTCAATTGCAAAGCCTCAAAAACCACAGAAGTTTCTCACACGGTTTCACGATTCCAGGAAGTGGCACTGTTCAGGAAAACTCTAAACCATTGTCCGGGCCTTTCAACTTCATCGATGTGCTGAGCCTGGTCAACAGGCCTGGTCGAAGGAGCTTTCCAATTGTAAGGTTCACAACTTCAAAAAACGTCTGACTTCAAACCATCCAGTTTTCAAGTCTGTGAATCTGGCGGATATGGTCCAAGTCAACCATAAAGACTACAAACCGTTTTTTCAAGTCTATCCATTTGGTCTGTCTTCTGACCTTTTCAATTAAAGCCAAAAAGAGCAAGAGGATCTGACAAGTTCTAGCTCCTAGGAAGACTGCAAAACCGTGTTTTCTCCAGTTCGATCAATTTGTGTGCCTGGCAGAAGTCAACGCAACCACCTCTATCTGCAAGGTTCAAGAAATGGTCAAACCAAATATTATCTACCATATATAAACATATTTATTTATCAAGATTCTTTTGCAAGAGTTTGTGAAATTGGAAGTACGAATTAATCCAAAAGGTCTGAATCCAGCAGGTTCTGAAACAACAAAATGTTGTACTTTGTTCACTTACTTGCATGCTGAACCTGCCCAGTTTCAACGGACTGAGAGCTGCGGCGTGCCGGCGTGCGGCCGGCGAGAGATGCACAGCAAGAACGGCAAGAGCTACAAAAGCACCATTTACAAAATGCATTTGCAACTGAAAGGAGTCTCCACCCAAAGACCTGCTTTTCAACATTTGCCTTGGTGACAATACACTCACACCTAAATTAACATGTCAATGAATAATGCTACATACACTCCTGCCCAATGAGTTTAAAAACGGTGCGCTGAAGCATGCCCTTCCACCACAGCAAGGTCAATCACCAAAAGCAATGAGTCACGCAATGCATTCACAACAAACAAATACCCACATCCAAAAAGATATGTTTTACAAAATCACTTTGGTGACAACACGCGCGCCTAATGCACATTTTCAATATATGAATGATACACTCCCAGGCAATGATCACAAACGCGAAGATGGAGTTCCTCGATGGCGTGGTGAATCTGCCACGTTCTTTAGTTGGTCTACTCCCCTCACCTGTGCAGCTAGTTGGACCACCAGGCATACCGTTGTGGGGCTGACTTCATCAGCCATTAGTAGAGCAACACGCAGGGAGATTATAAGCATAATTGCCTGGGACCTTCAGGCGCTACGCTTGGGTGTTTTTCCACGCACCGATCACAAAGGCAGACCTTTTCCAGTTGGCAGTGCTGCAGCCTTAAGGGCCGGTTGTCCGATTGCGCAACTATCAAGCGGAGCTTTGTTGACGGGGGTGTTCTCAAATTGGAAGGGCGACCAAGAAGCAGCAGCAATTGCACATGATTCCTGGGGTCAATGTTGAATACATTTTCTGTTTGGTCACGACCATGTGGAAAAACAAAACACCTTCCAAGTTAAAGGTACTTGGCTTTATTGTCTTTGTATATATGACATGTAAGAATGATAAATGCACCATAGTTGGAAAATTGATCGAACCACAGTTAGGGGTTTTACTTCGAGTCGTATCCGACCAACGAACAGGGTTTAGATTCAGGTTCCGTTAGTTGAAACAATATGAACCATTTAAATCGTTGCAAGCAAATCAAGGAATCACAAAGAACCTACCGGCATAACTTCATATGCGATTGGTGCTGGGCAAGCAAGAGTGTGGAACTTTTGAACTACGCAGATTTTGCCACAAACGCGTTTTGGAGGACGACAATATGTTCAAAGAGTGAGCCCAGCGCATCACCGTGGCGTGAAGTCTTTGGGTTTTCACGGGACCGGCAGTGTTGGGATTGCAGCGTGAAATTTCATTAGTCAGAAGTTTTGTTTAAACAAACTATGTTGTCCAAAACTGAACCTTACCTACCTCGCCTGTCTCACCCTGGATTTTTTCTCGATGACCTCTCTTTTTGAATTGAGGCATGCACCTTGCGCACTTGGGTTTTCTGCGAGATATCACCGCAAGCTGCTTAGCAGACATGTTCCAAACAGGAGCCACGTTGCTGAACTAACTTGTCGTTGTTTGTATAGATTACAAGCAGCAGGGCATATATACTGACCAGATTGTTGATACCAATGGTGATCAGGAGACCTGGCGGATTATGTGAATCTTGCTCCCGGAGCATCTGCTGCGCTTGTTTTCTGGAGGGTTGGTGTGCTGGCTGAACAATGGGCCAAGCAAAACCAACTTGATCTTGGGGCTGTCCGGCTTACAGAAGAGCGGCTGAACTACACGCAAACCACATACCCATGTTTGGACAGTTTGGTGAAAGCAGCGCGCGGCAGAGTGCTTTTCGAATATGTCTGCAAGATCTGCTTGGATGTGGTGCATTTGTTTTGCAAAACAATTTTGTTACTTTTCTTGGGTCATCAGGTTGAATCCTGATGTTTTACCATGGATATGTTTTCCGATCTCGTTGACAAGGACTTTTGGGGGGATTTCATGGGGATGGTTTCCTGTGCTCTAGGAACGCAACTTGCCTGCAGATCGACCTGCTTCAGACATATACCATTCGCAGTTGAGAGCTTCGATGTGCTGGTGCCTTTCTGCTTGTCTTAGCATTTGGTCGAAAGTCAAAAAACCAAAGTTGTCACAACAAGAAAAAGAAAAGTCAGTGTGGCTCGGCCGCTCTCACTTAGTGTGCTACGCGGCTCTCGCTGCTGGTGCACTTGCTCAACATCAGTTGCTGTACAAAGTTCGCCCAAAATGTCATTACTTCGAACATGCTTTAGATGAATGTGCATTGTGGGGAAACAATCCCTTGAGTCAGTCCAGTTTTTTGGATGAAGACAACATGAAGAGCCTCAGGAACCTGGCAGTTAAATGCCACCCAAGGACCGTAAAGGTCACGTGGGCCAGGCGTTACATTTTAAAGAAAGTGCTGCTGTGGCACAAACTCAAAGCAGAGTGAACAGTGAAAAAACACTTGAGTTTTCGCGCTTTCAGTTTTGTCATTTGCTGACTTTGAATGGATACATGGTTGAAACATGCAATTAAACTACCACCGGCTACTCATTTACGGCCTTTCGAACCAACCTGGGTTTGACATTTTGTCTACATTCTACATAACAAATCGAAACTCGAAATATCAACTGTCAGCCCCTGCGCGTTCTATAAAACACCACTCCATCTACCCAACGAATCTAAACAGCGTGCCACACACCAACATCGCGCAGGTACATCCAAGTAGCTGTGCGCGCTATGCGTGCAGTCATGAACGTGACTGAGCTAAGTGGCTTCACTAGACTAAATATGTTATTCAAGTAGGTCTCCTAGCCTCTTCAGTCAGCTGCCGCTTAATTCATTTGGCTCAAGACTTTGAAGCCCAATACTGCACTCCGTGCCATAGAAAAGTGTGCTCGCCGCCGCTCACGCACTAGTCACAAGAGAGAGAGAGGGTCTTACTTGGTGTGATCGATCAGGTCCACTGTACGTCACTGCCACTTTGGGGAACTTACCCCTCACCCCCTTCATTACAGAGCTAGGTTCTGCCTTGAGTCAGCATGTCATGGGATCGCTTTGGGCTCATAACCCACGTGTGGAACTGAACGCTCCGTTTTCTCGACTTTCAAGTTTGAAGGGCTACGGCTTCACCATTTGCAGCTGCACGTCTCAGCACACGATAGCGTGCGGCAAAAACATTGGTAGCGGAGCAAGAACTTGTTGCTCAAGGTTTTGGCCATTTGCTAGCCAAGAAAGAATGTATTTTCCCACCCTTCGCCTTCCAACATACATTCCTGACACCCTTGCCTTGCCAGGGTTGTATTTTTCCCGAAAGCACCTGCGAAGGGTTTTTCCTTAAGCACTGCTGCCTATTTCATCTTCCTTAATCTCTTTCTCTTACTTCATCTTCCCCACTCTCTCTTCCTTACTCTCTTTCTCTTACTTCATCTTCCCCACTCTCTCTTCCTGACTCTCTTTATCCTACTTCACCTTCCTTATTTCATATTCTTTACTAACTTTCTCCTGCTTCACCCTCACAACATCATCATCTAATCATCACCTCATAGGTTATTAATCTCATATCATATCATATTATATCATATCAGGTTATAATATCATATCACATCACATCAATGTCAGATCATATCATCTCATATCATGTGATAAAATAATATCACATCACAACATAACATATGAAGTAGAAGTATCAGATCAACAATATCAAAGTACATCAGAAGTAGATATTGATAGGTAGGTATTGATAAGTGGGTATAGACAG